AAGGAGGATAGAAGGAGAATTGATGCCTTTGAGCTGTGGTTCTGGAGAAGAGTACTGAGAATACCATGGGCTGCGAGGAAAACAAACAGATTTGTTCTGGAAAGGGTTAAACCAGGTGGCTCCCTGGAGGCAAGGATTCTGAGGCTCCATCTAACATACTTTGGACATGTTGTGAGGAGAGACTGGTCCTTGGAGGAGGACATCATGCTTGTGAGGGTGGAGGGACAGCGCAGGAAGGGAAGGCCCTCTATGAGGTAGATTGATTCAGTGACTGGGATAATCGAGATGGGAATGTCAGAGATAGTGTGATTGGCACAGGACAGAGCAGAGTTTAGTTCTGTTGTACATAGGGTCGCTATGAGTTTCAAGCGACTCGACGGCACATAACACAACCATGGATAAAAACCCATCTTTTCCATAAAACCTATTTCAGCACAAGTCCACTATTTTTTTTATTAAGAACTCATTTTTTAAAAACAATAGAGTTTAAATAATAAAGGTATGCAGACATCAAAAACTAAAAAGATAACCCACTCAAAATTACTGTATTTTTATATTTTGTCTTAAGAAATGTAGATTAATTTGTACTTTTCAAAATTAACTTTAAAAAGGTGATTACCTTGAGCGTCATGACTGTGGGATGTAACTGGAAAAGAAGGTGCTCCAAATATTCCTTCTCTGGTTTCAGATGCAGAAAAAGCATTATTTGCTGTAAGTAGGTCAATGTCTGAAAACTGTTGTGCCTGTTTCCCATTATTAATGTTCCATGATTTCCCTTTGTTCACTGATGTTTGGATAGTGTTCATTGCATCAATGTGAAAATTCAAATTTGCATTCTCATGTATACTGTCAGATATTTTAAATAATCTGAAAAACGAAAAAACCAAGCAAAATCCATGGGTTAGTTTTGTGGGTTTTTGTTGGGGTTTTTTTGTTCTTGTTATTGTTTTGTTTGGTTGTGGGGTTTTTTTGTTTTATTTCCTTGAAGCAGTGTTTAGACTGTAAAAAAGTTAGCATAAAATTGGTCCCATCGATTAAGGGGGATTCAACCAAGAAAAGCTAGCAATTCTACTATAATGTGGCCTTCTAAATTTATCAGGAAGTTTTGGTGACCTAGTTGTTAAGAAGCTGCCAGTGGTTTGAACTCACCAGCTGCTCTGAAAGGAAAAGATGGGCAATAACGCCCCACCCCTCTAATTTACAGCACTTGAAAAACCACTAGAGAATCAGCTATTAATCAATTCCAAACCAATGGCAATGGACTTAGTTGAGCTGATATTGGTTCAGGAATAATTTGTATAACTAGAAGAATACTGTGGAAAACGCAGGTATGTAGCTTTCATATTTAGGCTAACAGAAGATATTTTCAATTCCACATGGTCTCTTGCATTGCCTACGCCAAGGGGAACTAACACTCTCTCAGGCAAATATTCAAAGAACTCTATAAAGAGGTCCATATAGAGAGATACTAAAGTCTGATGTCAACAGTACCAATCTGCCAGCCAAGGTAAATAAGCCACCCTGAAAGCACATTCTTGTTCTGTCAAGTCTTCATGTGATTAGCCTTACCAACATTTTGCTTTTACTACCATGTGAGATCTCAACATCATCAAGCATTCTCCTAAGAGACATTAAGCTAGAATTATCTGTTACTAAATTCTTTTTTTTTTCTGTTACTAAATTCTTAAGCCATGAAAATTGTGAAGTAGAAAGAGGTTAAAACCACCATTTTCTTTTAATTAATTTTAATGAAAGTTTACAGAGACTTAGGGTTTCCAGTCACTCATTGTTGTATTTTTCTCCCTGTCCACCCCTTTCCCCCTCCCTCAATTCAATCTTCTCCTTGAAAAGTAAAAGAAAAACTCATTGTTATGCAATCCCTCCCCCCAAGTCCACTCCACTATGCAGCCTTCACTCTGGACTTCTGTAATGACAAGAATACCCATTCATATATCCCTTTTAAACAGTTCCCTCCCTCATCTGTTTCCATGCAATACACATCATTCCTCCCCTCCTTTTGTCTTCCCTCAACCCTGATGTCACCATTTTTAAATAATAGCAATAAATAACTAAAGTACAATAATAGCAACAGATAACTAAAGTAACACTTGAAGTCAATAAAATGTTTGAGAGAAAATGAAGTCAACTAGAGGAACAGTAAAAGAGAAATATTTATTCATCTAATAGTAATTAAATATAACTTTAACAAATTATATTGTTGTTAGGTACCATTGAGTTGAGTATGATTCAGTAATCATATGAACACCAGATCTGAACCTTGTTCTATCCTGTGCCTGCTTCACAATCTCTGATACCCTCAAAGCCATTGCTGCAGTCCCTGTGTCACTGGACATGGTTAAGGGTCTTCCTCTCTTTCACTGTCCCTCCACTTTCCCAAGCAGGATGTCCCTCTATAAGAAATAAACTCTCCTAGCAACATGCTCAAAGTATGAGAGACAAGGTTTCATCACCTTTGCCTTCAAGAAACATGCTGGCTGCACATTCTCCAAGACATAACAGTTTATTATTTTGTCAGTCCATGATCTCAAGTGTTCTTCTTCAACACCACAGTTCAAAGGCATCAATTCTTCTTCTATCATCCTTATTCACTGTACAGCTCTCAGATGCATAGCTAGTGATTGAAGAGACCATGACCTGAATCAAGTGCATGTTAGTCCTCAAACTGGCATCATTTCTCCTCAATATTTCAGGAGGTTCATTAACTACAGACTTTCCTAATATGGTAAGTCTCCTGATCTCCTGACTGCTGGTACCAAGCACACTGTTTGTAGATCCAAGTAAGATCAAGTCACTGACAGCCTTAATCTTTTTTCTAACAATTATGTTGCCTATCAGTCTAGTACCATGATAGACAGAGAAGAGATTGAGGTTATTAACAATTACAACTTGCTTGGCTCTACAATCAATATTCTTGGCACTGTTGTTGTTACGAGCTGTCGAATTGTCTATGCCCCATAGCAACCTCAGGTACAGAAGCTCTGAACCATTCCCCGTCCTGCGACAGTCTCACTCACTCCTACACACCCACCCCCATTACCCCAGTTATTGTATCAATCCATCTCATCCAGGGTCTTCCTCCCCTGCACTGTCCTTGCACCTTTCCAAGCATGGTGTCCTTCTTGAAGGACCAGTCTCTCTTGGCCACATGCCAAAGTATGTGAGATGGAGCTTCAAAATCCTAGCCTCCAAGGAGAAACTTGATTTCACTCCCTTCAAGACAGACTTATTTTTTTTTCTTGGCAGTCCATGGTATGTTGAAGACTCTTCTCCAGCAACACAATATGAAGGCATCAATTCTTCAGGTTCTCCTCAGTTTC